GGCTGATTTATTACACTTGTCATACAACTGAGACATAAACGCTTATCGGTAATTATCACCAGGCCTTTAGCCAGCAATTGCAATTTTTATGATATGGACCTTTGAACCCTTTCAGCTGACCCAACCTTAAGTTTTACAAAAAATAATTTGATCTGGGAAACTTGTTCTCTCTGACCACAGGGTGCGCTAGTATAAGATTAACCGCCAAATATATTGATCTCAGTAAATTAAAGCTTGAAATGAATTGATTAGAATTGAAATTCATTGTCAAAAGAAGTCAATGAAATTTCTTCAGAATATTTAATGGGAAAAATATTAGGCAGTTTGCTAAATATTTTTTTGTTAAAATTTTTGATTCAAGACAAAAAAGAATTGTGCTTATCAAGTGTTTTATAAGCCCAAAAGCTGTTTTTAAAAAAATTTTTCTCACATGGCACTTATATAAACGAATAAAAGAAAATAAAAAATGATTAACCCCCAACAAGACATTGTCGTCCTTTTCGTGTCATTTTCAAGTAAAGGGTATATTATGTTTTTCATTCTCTGCATTTTTTCGGCACAATTGCATGGACTGGGTGCCACTGCAATGCAGTGCAATGTTACTTTGTGTCTCACCTACAGCAATGTACAACGGGATTATCTCGGGCAATCAACATTTTTCATTTATATATCTTTTGCCATATTGATAAAGTAAGCATTTTCTCTCCCTTACCCCAGTCAAAAAAAAAAAAAAAAAAAAAAAAAAAACTTGCTGTGGGGTGGGGTTATAAAAGGTGTGATATCACATAAAAAGCTACCAGATTGAGTATGCTTTCACACATATTTGGACACTAAAGACATAAGCCTTACTAAAAATCATTTTTTGATACCAATGGCCGAAAATCAGGGGTCTGGCCTACTAGGAAAGTTAAAAAAAAGGACACATCAACGATTTTCAGATTTGGTGGAAATTAATCATTCTATTATTCCGAGAACCTCACTCTCATCACCTCAAATTTAAATAGTTTTAGACCTTACTTGAAGAAGATGCTTGCCGCCTTGGTTATATAAATCCCTCGATCACGATCAACCCGAAACAGATACGAACGAGACATGATGAGCAGAGCCTTGCACGGAAATTTAGCACGTGAGCGTCTTGCATTCTAACATTTTCATGGTTTTACACATATAAATTTCACTATTATGTACTTATGTGTGAAAAGTCCCGTTATTGTTCCATCACTGACCTGTTGCGCGACTTTGAAAAATTGACGGATAAAAAACTTCCCAGCCAAAATATCTAAAAAAAACAATCATTCTTTAGCAAAGACCGAGTTTTGTCATATAAATTGTAGAGACATTTAAATGTAAATTAAAAGATGTTTTTATAAAATATTGCAACTTTGATTGTTTAATTAGAGACATTTTGATCCTCACATATTTATCAAGCTATGTACATGTATCATACCCAATTTAAATCTAATATTTTTCAGTTCTACCCGTCTACCTAATGTTAGAGTTTGTACAGGGAGTTAGTGGGTTAGCAAGGAGGAAGAAAGAGGGGAGAAAGGAAATATGTCGCTGCTTTCGAGAGCGACAATTTCATAATATCAGTAAAATCAGTGGTTCACACTTTATCAATAACTACCACAGGGATAGATCGGAAAGCAGTCAACGAAGCGTTCCTACTTTTGCATAATGTATACCCGGTATGTATACTTGAAATCTAGACGCTGACTAAAAGAAAAGGAAAATGAAGATAAATGAAAACAAACAAACAAACACCTCTGCAATTTTTTTTATTCAACTTACATATAGATACACAAGTATATAAGGGACATTTTAATGACCATTGGACATTCATTGTGCATTTTTTGTTTTGAAAATCCAAAATGTATCTTATAGCAGATGTAACTGACAGCTACGATTACCTTTTCCTGTTACCAATGAAGAAAACACGCTTCCTACTTGCCACATACATAGCATACAGACGATATTGCAGTAGTTGAGATTTATTTATGGTCTCATTCAGAACAGTGGACTAACTAGTCCGTGGATCAAATATGGCCGACCCACTTGAATGCTTGTTACGTAATCCACGCTGGGAATCTTTTCAGTGTCTATTGGTGGATTAGACGACAAGCTTTTTAGTGAGTCGCCATCTTTGAGCCGTGGACTAGTTAATCCGCTGTTCAGAATGTGATCTTTTCAGATCAGGGCACTCAGAATTATATTTCCTGATTTATTTTATGTTGATGCCCTGGTAAAAGCAAATCTTGTCACTTTAGAAAAGTGGTGCACAGAACCATGCAAATTAAAAAAAAAAAAAATAAAGAACGACAAGAACAAGCTAAATTACCTCCAGAACATACAGAAAGCTAAGACATAATCTATCTAACTTCAGTGCACCATTATTCAGACCGAACCTTTTCGAAACATTTTTATTCCTTTGTATTTATCTAACTTTTAGCGGTCTGTGTTTTATTTCAAATTCAATTTGATCTTAATATAAGTCCTATATTTCGTTCTAATTCGTACCTAACGGCACCGTTCGCACACTAAAATACCAAAAATTTTCGGGCCACTTCACCGGGCCCCGAACCCCACGCCAGGGAGGGGGGGGGGGGGGGCGTAGGCTTTGGATCCGCGGACCGCCCCCCCCCCCCTTCAAATTATCCTGGATCTGCCACTGCTATAATTATGAAAGAGTTGAAGATATCAAGAGCAGTGAGATATTAAGAGCATTAAAACTATTGACCACCTATATGCCCATATATATATATATATATATATATATATATATATATATATATGGGCATATAGGTGGTCAATAGTCTTACGGGTAGGCGTTATCTCTTTACTTATGTATTTCAGTGCGTCATGTCTTGCAATTTGTAAATCCAACGTCATCTAACATTGTTAAAGTGTTGCAATATCGTCGTATCATCATTTACCAATCCACACTATCTGCCTTTGGGTTGTAAAATACTGATAATATGCACACACGGTCTCAACATTATATTTGGACATCAACTAATCGATCTGTCGTTTATTAAGTGAGGAAATTTTGTCATTCTGGAGCAATAATCACTAACGACTGATATGATAAGAAAAGTCCATGCGATTAAAACATTACTGCTTTGTACAATCTGATAAAATACCCTTCCCATTATTATTATTATTGTAATTAAGACAACAAACATGTTGATCTATTTGCTGTTTACAAAAATAGTTTCTGTTATGCTCTAATAATTTAATTCCCGAATTTCATATCCAGCAGTGTTTGGCACAAGTACCTTTCAATGATTTAAAAAAGGTGATAACTTGGTTGGATTCTGTATTTTGTAGAGAATAAAGTGCATTTTTTGCCGACAACTTATTGGATCAAGTGCTTTTCGTAACGGGTGGCGTAAGCTTACTGAGGCGAAACTCTCACAAGTGCGTACATGATATATGCAAACAAACAGATTGCACATTCGTATCATCGCCAACCTGGCTGTTAGACGATTGTAAAATCTGTTTGTTGCTAAGAGCTGGCACACCTTCAGCCATCCCTCTGCAACTTATTAAATAAAGATCTATTTCTGATGTTTTCTTGTAGACTATACCAAGGAGTTATAACTCCTTGACTATACGACTAAAGTGGGTGTGCGCCAATTCATTATAACAAATAAAGGTTATAGCTACGCGAGGTGAAGCCCTGTTGGTGTAGTTATTTTGGAGCTTGCCATATGCAGTTTAAATGATCTATTTGGTGTATATTTTCCTTGGGATATTTGTTCCCTCATTTGGACACGATTTGGGGTCGTCTTCCGATTGAGATGGCATGCAGGGGCATGCGTTTTTACGGGTTTTATACAATGGAAAGAGATAGGCAGGGCCATTCAAGCAATATGGTACGCAGATTTTTTTAAGGCAAAGGAGGCGATTTTTAGTATGAGAAAATTGAAAAGCATTATTTTTTTTAAAANAACATATACCATGGGTTGAAAAAACAAAATGTAAGTACGCTCGTGTTGTAAAACCATGCCACTAATTCAGGTGCCTCGTATTTGTTGTGCTAAATTCGGGAGGCTATGACATTTTGTCTAATTCTACTCACGAACATTTCCAACCTGTCTAAATCCATCATCCTTATCGATGACCGCTGATCTTGGCCCAGTATTAAAAGAGAACTGCGAGACGAATGGAGGCCACGACCGTAATGGGTCACGTGCCTCCCCCACTCCCCTTGGCTTCGGAGGTACACGTACGCTGTACCCACTTCTGTCTTCCCTCCCTCCCTCCCTCTCTCCCTCTCCCCCCCCCCCACTTAAATACAGTGTGAGAAACCTTACGTAAAATAATAAATAAATAAGATAAAATAAATAAGATAGCTTTCGTCCATCGTTTACTATTTAATATTTTATCAACTGTTCGATCTTTGTCCCCGCTCAGGCAGTGCAACACTGAAACTTTCTGAATGTTGCATTTTGAACGCCATGCATAATCGTGACCTCTTCTTAATGAAAATCACATGAAATGTCACCTATGGTGTTATTATGATGTTATATTATATTTCAAGAGGTGGCTCCAAAAATAAATAAATAAATAAATAATATGGTGCAAAATTTTTACGTATTACCAGCTTGAAATGAAGAATGGGAGAAAGATTTGTGAATAAGAGCCAATGGTTCTCAATGGAGGTCATGATGACATTTTTACCAAAAATTAACAGAATAATGGTAAATATCGATGAATAATCAAAGTTACATTTTTTACACACAATTACCTAGCTATCTAGCTGAACAGATGCATGCAAAGCGTTAATTCATAACTGTCCCTTGTCTTAATATTCTCCGTGAATCATCATACAGACAGATGCGTTAATGATATTGTATTCAAAATCAATATAGTTAGATTCCCAGGCTATGCGTTTGGTCGTGGATGTGTGTGAGTGTATGTCTGCCCGTGTGCTCGCCTGTATATAATAAATATACATATAATGTACATATAAAACAACTACTAGTAAACACACATACCTATATTTGTGTTACCCGAATGGCTTCTACAGCGCCTTATAACCTCCGTTCCATGTGGTATTCATCCTAGGTGTGCATGAATATATGCAGGCTAATGCACCTCTTTGAATATAACGCTGCCTGACAGACCCCCTCTCTGAAGAAATGCCGCAGATATCAAAAATAAACTCTGAGCACGCTGTTCTATGCTCTCTGCCCATTCCGCATCTGAAACATGTCAGCATATGGACCATTACTGCTCTGAGCATAATCCTCTGAAATCAGATTGACCTACGGATGTATGTAGTAATTGAATACACCTAATTTGCCTCTACATTCTGTTTTTGTAGACTCAACTTAATACAAACCGGCATGTATAACGATAACCAAACCGAAATCTGTGCTTTATATGACTGAAAAATCGTGAGACTTCAAATTTCATAGTTTTTTAAATTACTGGGCCAGGTACTTGGCTAAGTGCGCAGAGGCAATGCTTGCAGTCGATTTGGTTGAAAATTTTAGCGGGTCTATGTAGAATATAAGGGCCAAAGGCATTTATTTCATGTTGAAATGAATGCCTTTGAACCTTAATTATCCATAGACCCACTCTTATTAGTAGAGTCTTGCAAATTCCTACAACCACATAATATATACACATAGCAAAATGTAAGTATATTTTTGAATAGACCGTATATCGGTATGTAATAAGTACTTACATGCCCAGTCGTATAACCTTCTTTGACCCCTGCCAGACGTCTCTGGTACACGCGAGCCCAGTTCAAACACAGAGCGTTTCTGTAGAGGTCAACATATTTTCGGTGACTATGCACATACAATGTAAATAAGAGAGAACTAGAGAGATGCGTCTCGGGATCCCTAGCGAAAAGTACGAATACTGCCAATCAATACTTGCTCTTGGTAAAAGATGACCCAGATATTCAGCAATCCATTGGAAAGCAATTGTGATCGTGTGTTAGGAGAACGCGCAGCAAAGAGATCTCTATATAATGTCGTAATTCAACCCACCTACGCTGTTCAAGTACTTCCGTGAACAAAAAAGCAGATCAGATGTCACGTTTAACTTCCGCCAGTCTGGATCTGCGTGTACTCTGTGTACTGCATAATCAAGTGTGGGGTTGTGCTTAGTGTAGTGTAATATAGGTGGCGTGCATTTGATTTGATTTTGATGAAATACGACAAGCCTTTGGGGATTGGTTTGTGGACGTGGGACCTCGAACCGCGTGCTACTGACACGAGAATGCACAGTTTAGGTGCCGCGGTACACGCAAATTCACTGCCGTAAACAAAGTCCCAATCTGAACAGAAGATAGTTATCAGAGTTCTTGGTTGAAAGAATCGGTTTATGTATTGTGATATCGATTGGAATGATCTCTATGACATCAGAATAGTAAGAAATAATGCGCCAGATGGGTTTTAAACTGAGGGTTCACCACTCGTCGTTAACTACTCTCGTCTTTAATACGTGGACAATTTAATTGTTCACATCACCGGTATTAACGCCGATGCCATTAATTGGACGGCGATACCATTAACTGCAATATTGCCTTTGTGTCCATTAGCATTAGAAAATGCAGAATGTCTTACAGACAGTGTACAGAACCCGTTCATTGATTTTGATGTCTCGGGAGAGCGGTATCCTGAATTTTAGAGCCCTCTCGATGATGACAAGTGCTTGGGTCATCTTGAATGGCCTATCACTCAGGGAAGTACTTTTGTCACTATTTGAATGGGCTTCTTTTACAACAGGGCGTTATGCTACTGAAACATTTCTTTACAGATCTAATGTTTTACAACATATATTAACTGTCATTTATATATTAAAGTTCGTAAATACATGCCCAGTCGTATAACGATCAACCCGAAATGACGTGCTAAATGGCAGCGATGATTTGCCAAAATTACTTTAATATATATTTGTCATTAATTTGGAAACCGTGGATAGTCACCATATTTGCTCATAATCAAAACTACTAGTAGGTATGGTCTGATGTTTAGATCCTGAAAAGCTTCTACATGCTAGTAATGCTCAAGTACGACAGTACTCTAATAAGAAGAAACTCTGTATCAGAAACTTTCAGGAATATCATTCTCTGTTACTGTATCAGCTGTACACAGCCACGTGCATACATATTTGCACTAGTTAGTGCATACGTATTATAAGTGGCCTATGTTGAGTGCGATTTGGTCTCCGCACGTAAGTTAACTCTGCCTTTCAAACAAGGCATTTTTCCTGAGACAAAAATTTTCACTTTTTGCCAACACAAACAGGCCCCGGTGATCATGTGCAGTTCACGTGTCTTTTCACAAAAGAGCTAAAGTCTAAAAACTGATCTAAACTTTTAGACCAAACTTTTTGTCCACTTTGACACAAAATAAATTGCTATTCCATTTAAAATGAAATAGGCCTACTGCACCTGTCTGATAACAAAAAGGTCAGGTCTAATGTTTCAGACCAATACTTAAAGCGGACTGCTGAATTTAGTAGATCAAATTTTGGGTCTTAGACCTATTTTGGGTGAAAAACGGTTTTATGAACCCAGTCCAAGCAGCGATTAGACCATGCTCACCTATTACATGCTGCATAAGTTTTCTGAATGTAGAGATATAAAGACCATATGATAAAAAACAATGCTATGTTAGTTGTGGATCTCATCGGCTGATTTATTACACTTGTCATACAACTGAGACATAAACGCTTATCGGTAATTATCACCAGGCCTTTAGCCAGCAATTGCAATTTTTATGATATGGACCTTTGAACCCTTTCAGCTGACCCAACCGTAAGTTTAACAAAAAAATAATTTGATCTGGGAAACTTGTTCTCTCTTACCACAGGGTGCGCTAGTATAAGATTAACCGCCAAATATATTGATCTCAGTAAATTAAAGCTTGAAATGAATTGTTTAGAATTGAAATTCATTGTCAAAAGAAGTCAATGAAATTTCTTCAGAATATTTAATGGGAAAAATATAAGGCAGTTTGCTACATATTTTTTTGTTAAAATTTTTGATTCAAGACAAAAAACAATTGTGCTTATCAAGTGTTTTATAAGCCCAAAAGCTGTTTTTTTTTAAATTTTTTCTCACATGGCACTTATATAAACGAATAAAAGAAAATAAAAAATGATTAACCCACAACAAGACATTGTCGTCCTTTTCGTGTCATTTTCAAGTAAAGGGTATATTATGTTTTTCATTCTCTGCATTTTTTCGGCACGATTGCATGGACTGGGTGCCACTGCAATGCAGTGCAATGTTACTTTGTGTCTCACCTACAGCAATGTACAACGGGATTATCTCGGGCAATCAACACTTTTCATTTATATATCTTTTGCCATATTGATATAGTAAGCATTTTCTCTCCCTAACCCCAGTCAAAAAAAAAAAAAAAAAAAAAAAAAACTTGTTGTCGGTGGGTTGGGGTTATAAAAGGTGTGATAGCACATAAAAAGCTACCAGATTGAGAATGCTTTCACACATATTTGGACACTAAAGACATACTGAACGCCTTACTAAAAATCACTTTTTTTGATACCAATGGCCGAAAATCAGGGGTCTGGCCTACTAGGAAAGTTTTTTTAAAAGAAAGGAAACATCAACGATTTTCAGATTTGGTGAAAATTAATCATACTATTATTTCGAGAACCTCACTCTCATCACCTCAAATTTAAATTTAAGTTTTAGACTTTACTAAAATATGCTTGCCGCCTTGGTTATTAAAATCCCTAGATCACGATCAACCCGAAATAGATACGAACGAAACATGATGAGCAGAGCCTTGCACGGAAATTTAGCACGTGAGCGTCTTGCATTGTCTCACATTTTCATGTTTTTACACATGTGCATTTCACTATTATGTACTTATGCGTGAAAAGTCCCGTTGTTATTCTATTATTGACTTTGAAAAATCGATGAATGAAAAAAATCATTCTTTAGCAAAAACCGAGCTTTTGTCATATAAATTGTAGAGACATTTAAATTTAAATTAAAAGATGTTTTTATAAAAATATTGCAACTTTGATTGTTTAATTAGAGACATTTTGATCCTCACATATTTATCAAGCTATGTACATGTATCATACCCAATTTAAATCTAATACTTTTCATTTCTACCCGTCTACCTAATGTTAGAGTTTGTACAGGGAGTTAGTGGGTTAGCAAGGAGGAAAAAAGAAGAGAGAAAGGAAATATGTCGCTGCTTTCGAGAGGGACAATTTCATAATATCAGTAAAATCAAAGGTTCACACTTTATCAATAACTACCACAGGGATAGATCAGAAAGCAGTCAACGATGCGTTCCTACTTTTGCATAATGTATACCCGGTCTTGAACGCGGCGATTGTAAATTATACAGAACTTAGAATGAAAGTTTAAGGTTGAAATGAGGTTTTCGATGAAAAGTCACTTCTTTTCATTCAATTAAACTGTCATTATTAATGACTGCTTATTGTACATGATTATGTAAGCTTTTACAGTGTAGTTACATTGGAATTGATGTGAGATAGTTTTGGAATTTTTGTTGGGGCAGTGTGGCAGTCGTTGAAAACCCACAATACAGGTTGTAGGTAATTTGTACTGCCTGTCAAGTGGTTCCCATCTTGAAATCTAGACGCTGGCTAAAAGAAAAGGAAAATGAAGATAAATGAAAACAAACAAACAAACAAACACCTCTGCAATTTTTTATTCAACTTACATATAGATACACAAGTATATAAGGGACATTTTAATGACCATTGTACATTCATTGTGCATTTTTTGTTTTGAAAATCCAAAATGTATCTTATAGCAGATGTAACTGACAGCTACGATTCCCTTTCCCTGCTGCCAATGAAGAAAACACGCTTCCTACTTGCCACATACATAGCATACAGACGATATTGCAGTAGTTGAGATGTAAGATGCAATAACGTTTATTTATGGTCTCATTCAGAAAAGTGGATTAACTAATCCGTGGATCAAATATTGCCGACCCACTTGAATGCTTGTTACGTAATCCACGCTGGGAATCTTTTCAGTGTCTATTAGTGGATTAGACGACAAGCTTTTTAGTGTGTCGCCATATTTGAGCCGTGGACTACATGTAGTTAATCCGCTGTTCTGAATGGGATCTTTTCAGATCAGGGCACTCAGAATTATATTTCCTGATTTATTTTATGTTGATGCCCTGGTAAAAGCAAATCTTGTCACTTTAGAAAAGTGGTGCACAGAACCATGCAAATTTAAAAAATAAATAAATAATAAAGAACGACAAGAACAAGCTAAATTACCTCCAGAACATACAGAAAGCTAAGACATAATCTATCTAACTTCAGTGCACCATTATTCAGACCGAACCTTTCCGAAACACTTTTATTCCTTTGTATTTATCTAACTTTTAGTGGTCTGTGTTTTATTTCAAATTCAATTTGATCTTAATATAAATCCTATATTTTATGTTAATATTTCGTTCTAATTCGTACCTAACGGCACCGTTCGCACACTAAAATACCAAAAAATTTCGGGCCACTTCACCGGGCCCCGAACCCCACGCCAGGGAAGGGGGGGCGCAGGCTTCGCATCCGCGGACCGCCCCCCCCCCCCTTCAAATTATCCTGGATCTGCCAGTGCTATAATTATGAAAGAGTTGAAGATATTAAGAGCAGTGAGATATTAAGAGCATTAAAACTATTGACCACCTATATGCCCATATATATATATATATATATATATATATGGGCATATAGGTGGTCAATAGTCTTACGGGTAGGCGTTATCTCTTTACTTATGTATTTCAGTGCGTCATGTCTTGCAATTTGTAAATCCAACGTCATCTAACATTGTTAAAGTGTTGCAATATCGTCGTATCATCATCTACCAATCCACACTATCTGCCTTTGGGTTGTAAAATACTGATAATATGCACACACGGTCTCAACATTATATTTGGACATCAACTAATCGATCTGTCGTTTATTAAGTGAAGAAATTTTGTCATTCTGGAGCAATAATCACTAACGACTGATATGATAAGAAAAGTCCATGCGATTAAAACATTACTGCTTTGTACAATCTGATAAAATACCCTTCCCATTATTATTATTATTGTAATTAAGACAACAAACATGTTGATCTATTTGCTGTTTACAAAAATAGTTTCTGTTATGCTTTAATAATTTAATTCCCGAATTTCATATCCAGCAGTGTTTGGCACAAGTATCTTTCAATGATTTAAAAAAGGTGATAACTTGGTTGGATTCTGTATTTTGTAGAGAATAAAGTGCATTTTTTGCCGACAACTTATTGGATCAAGTGCTTTTCGTAACGGGTGGCGTAAGCTTACTGAGGCGAACTCTCACAAGTGCGTACATGATATATGCAAACAAACAGATTGCACATTCGTATCATCGCCAACCTGGCTGTTAGACGATTGTAAAATCTGTTTGTTGCTAAGAGCTGGCACACCTTCAGCCATCCCTCTGCAACTTATTAAATAAAGATCTATTTCTGATGTTTTCTTGTAGACTATACGACTAAAGTGGGTGTGTGCCAATTCATTATAACAAATAAAGGTTATAGCTACGCGAGGTGAAGCCCTGTTGGTGTAGTTATTTTGGAGCTTGCCATGTGCAGTTTAAATGATCTATTTGGTGTATATTTGCCTTGGGATATTTGTTCCCTCATTTGGACACGATTTGGGGTCGTCTTCCGATTGAGATGGCATGCAGGGGCATGCGTTTTTACGGGTTTTATACAATGGAAAGAGATAGGCAGGGCCATTCAAGCAATATGGTACGCAGATTTTTTTAAGGCAAAGGAGGCGATTTTTAGTATGAAAAAATTGAAAAGCATTATTTTTTTAAAAACTGTTCAAATTGTGATATAGGCCTATGTGCACATACACACACAGAGGTTAGAGATGGTAGGCCTAATGGATTTTCTTTTGTTTAGAATGGACCAATTGTTTTTCAGCGGAAATTTTTCTTTAAGATTTTATTTATAACAATGATCTGACAAAATGGAAAAAATAGCCACAAACGGCAGTCAGAAGGTTTCACGAAGCTTTAGTTTACCTTCTTAATTCGCTATTGGAATTTACAACAAACCTGAATACCAGCGCGCATGTATCGTTATGGAGGAAATCGATGAGATTAGGTCGCGACACCTTTATTGCCGTTTCCCACTACGAAGCCCTAATGATTTCTCTTCAATAATAAGGAGCTGCTCGTTTCAGTCGCAGGTTAAACATTAATGCACAGCCACCGCGTCGGACTTCGGTTAACATGGCAACGCAGATCACGTGGGTTTAATCCCACATTCTACTGTACTGTAATCTACAACCACCGCGATTTTGCCAGTTTAATACATGTTAGTCGCCACTGACACGTAGAGTGCGGGACGTTTGCAAGCTTCATTATTTGATATCAGTGGTATACGCAATTGTGTTTTCTCGTTTATTTATTTGTCATGAAAGCGCTGATGACTTTTAAAGAAGCCCAATGCCTTCGATGACAAGCAGCAAGCCATTTGACATCGACAGTGTGATTAGTCAGTTGGTTGCAGGGAGGGAACATCCAGGAAAACAGGTAGGCTTTTGTATGTTACTTTTCACGTTTCCTCATTTCACATGGGAGGTTAAACGAGCACCAAGAGTCAGGGCTTGCTTAGCAGAGCTCTAAGCAAAGAGAACCGTTCAACTATATGTTCAACACGTACCTGACGTGCGCTCCAATTAAGATCGTCTTCTTGATTTCTGGATATCGTGTAATAGTGCATACAAAAAGGAATGCTTGCATTTTTACTCATGGCATCCGTGGCATACTAGTTTGGCAATCGAAAAACATGAAAATGTAAAGCGATTCAGTTTTATTCGCAATGAGTGGAATAAGGCAACACGTTGTGTTAAATAACCAGCATTCTTCAAAACGTATGCAATATCAGTTTATTATTGGATCTAATAACGCTTCAAGACAAACGGCCATTTAGGTCAGAGTCTGTAATATTATCGGCAATACAGAATTAAATATGTTACTCAAAGGATGAATGAATAATTGATGAAGCAATTGACATAGGGGAGAAGCGTTTGTTGAAGGGAGAATATACACGTCAATAATTCCTAGATTCTGTTGAATTTCCACATTATAGGGTTATATGCTTCTGCTACATGTAGCATGTGAAAAGTATATTTGCATTACCTTCAGGTTATTCTGAACCTGATGTTGTAGCTAAATTTGAGAGATTTTATAATGTACATATCCAGGGGACAAACCCTTTCTGTTTGCAACTAGTTTTCTATATACAACTTAGAGAGGCCATTGAATATTTACTCTTTGGATAAGCAAACATAATTACACCTTAGATAAATATCAACATAAAACATTTATTGCCCCATTAAATTTTGAGTTATATGTATATAGTTCCCTGCAGTACTTCAACTAACTATAAATTCATAAAAAAGAAAGAAGAGAAAAAAAGAAAGAAAAAATATCTACAAACTTCTTCTGGATTCACAATTTAAATAATTTTTTCAAAGTTCATTTGAGTTATGTTTCTGTCTCCTGCATACATCAACTTAATATAAAATTTGCACAAGACTGTTTTAAAAGTTTTGATCATTTTTTTCCTTTTTTTTTTTTTGCATGACAAAGGTCCAACTCCCAGAGTCCCACATCCGGCAATTATGTCAACTTTCCAGGGAGATTTTTATGGAACAGCCCATGCTCTTGGAGCTGTCTGCACCAGTGAATGTAGTAGGAGATATTCATGGCCAGTATGTGGACCTCCTGAGACATTTTGATGCTTGTGGCTATCCCCCAGATGCAAATTATCTATTTCTAGGAGATTATGTGGATAGGTAATGTTATTTGTGTACATTGTCTGATGTTGCATTTAGGTGGTTTTTTTTCCATTGCCTAACTTTATGTCACGTCAAAGTGATTGAGTGAGAGATGTTATTTGCTTATGTTGGCTGTTTTGTATTAATCGGTGTGTGATTGTGTGCAAGATGTGTGTGCATGCAGATGTGTGCGATGACATGCTTGTTATTTGAGTGAATGTGCTCAACAATTTCTATAATAAATTTAGTATGTGGATTGGAAGTATTGTCTGTTATGATGCTGAATTTTGACCTTATGAACATCATCGCACAGTATTCTCTAAGGGTTTCTTGATTCAGCCCATCAATATTGTCCTAATAGGCTTTGTTTGTAATCCTGTAAATAGACAACTGATTTAACAAGGCAGTGTGCCATTTTCTGGTGCGAGATGCTGTGGCAATACTCTAATGCATACTTATACCCAGTACAACACTGGGAACATATTGATTTATCCACATGTAGAAGAAGCTCAATATTGGTTATTCGAGTTAAAAGATCTATATAGACCAGTGCCAACAGATCAGGAGCAGTAGCCCTGTATATGTAATAATCTGAGGGAGGTTTATTAGCATAATATGTTAAAATGAGTTAATTTTGAGCCTTTAGCATGATATCTTTATTATATTTACTTGTACTGTACATTGTCTTTATGCACACTGGCTATATTTGAAGTGAGAAATCTGGCAAAGCTACAGTGTGAATTGGTGATCTAATCCTTTGAATTAATTATCACGTATTACAAATCAATAAATTCAATATCGTTGTCTATAAGTCTGTCACATTTAAGATGATGTATGCATGTAAAATCATATATGCATATGGACACATGCTCTGAACATGAAGGAAATGCTCAAGATATTACACCATTGATGCATTTATACTGGCATTTCAATGCGTGCCATTTTCTTTGCCTGTGATGACAGATGTGAGAGAGTTAAACCTTAAATGAAAACACCTATGAGCATTAAGCCTGTAGGCTTGTAAAGCCACACACACAACCACACATACACACACACATTAAGGAGATTCTGTTTACATAAGGGACTATTTTAAATGTTTTACATCAAAACATCTTTTCCGAAGATCTTATAATTTTTTCCTCATTTTTATTTTCTTTTTTTGTATCAGGGGTAAATTTTCCTTGGAGTCAATTTGCTTGCTGCTGGCCTACAAGATCAGATACCCCGACAATTTTTTCCTACTCAGAGGTAATCATGAATGCGCCAGCATCAACAGGTAACCTTTCCATTTTATTGTTACCCACTAATTCACACACACACACACACACACACACGTATATGAATGTGAAAATGTTTAAAATTTTTGTTTTTCAGTCCAAAGAAAAAAATCTACTTTTTAGGATAATCATACTTTACATGCAGTTGTTTTAAGGCACAAATAAATAAAGGTATTCTGTTGTGAAGCATACTCATGTGCACAAAGATTAACTTTAAATGCCATGGGGAAAACGTACTTCGTTGCCAGCCAAACAAACCCTTTGACAATACTTTTATTAAAATACTGACAATTCAAAGAGCTTTATGGCAAACTTACAATGTACATCTCCCTCATGAGGTTAAGATCTGAATTATAGGTTTTATAATGAAATAAATCTGTCAGAATGATTTATAAATGGTCTGTGTTGGTCATGTGAAAAAGGTGTTATCATGTTAGATAGAGAGGCCTGGTTGGTTTTATCAATATTTTTGCCAAGGCATTTGAAATCAAAGGGTTATATTGGAAGCTGCAGGCGTTCTCTTTCTATATTGTAATAATTTTACTGTGCATCTTGGCCTCTATGAACTGGTTTCACAAAATGCTTCAGATTATTTAATTTATCTTAATTTTTCGTCAGGTTATCATTGCTTTGGTGTTAATGTTTTGGTTAAAAAAATAACCAAGCCTGCACAGTCATGTTTAATTAAAGTATTGTAGCATAAAGTGAATGACATGTAATAGTAACTAAAACAAATTATTTTTTCACAGAATCTATGGCTTCTATGATGAATGCAAAAGACGATATAATATTAAGATATGGAAGACCTTCACAGACTGCTTCAACTGTTTACCAGTGGGTAAGGGAGAATCATTTTATTTTCTTCTTTTACATGTTCCAATCACCCTGGGTCTGCAGGAAACTGTCCACTATAACCAGCAGGTGCTGGTTTCTGGAAAGCCACTGTCATTGCTCTGAAACTCGGGGTGTTTTACTGTAGAAGTTTCAAATCAATATCTTGGGGAAAAAAAGAAATCTATGAATTTATGTCAGTTGTGATAAGGAAGGGCATTAGTTACCATAGAGAAATTAGAATGGACAATTGGTTGAGGGGATAAAAGTCTTGGGACGACTTAATCTCACTCATCAAAAATCAATTTTGGATCCGAGGGTAAGTAGTGAGTGAAGTACTCAGAATTTTAAAATTAAGGTTGATTTCCAGAGGAGATGGGTTGGCCCAATGTGAGTATTTCCTATTGCAAACCATCTGGTTGAGATTTCTAACCATTTACAGACAATTTGATCCTTCTGTTGTCCCACCCAAATGGTGTAAGTTACCTGCCATTAGAGAGGCCTTTTATAATTAGAAATTGCAAATAGACAGCCTGGAAGGATACACAAATTGAGTAGTACATATTTAAGTTAGGTCATGACAGTTGGGAACAGGCCTTAAGTATCAAGCATCTTATATCACATGCCTTTTATCGTTAGTAACAAAAACTTGCATATTGAGTTGTTTTTACTCTGGCTTCCTTAAATCAATATGCAGTGTGTAAGCTTGTGCTAACCTTGAGTCACGGAATTAAAGATGTCATGTTTTACCCTTACTACAGAGGGATTAGCAGTCACACCCTCCATTTTTTTAAATCATTAACTTAATTTATTTACTAATTTATTTAAAAAAATATTAGAAAGGGGTTGCATGTGACTGCTAAACCTCTTTTTTATAATAGTTTGAATGGCAGCATTAAATAGAGTGATAATTGCACATGAAATACTTAAATTAACTGACGTGTATTTATTGGAGCATATTTAGAATCCACATTACTGCAGAACTCATGACATGTGAGGAGCTCCTGTGAAGTGTTGAAAAATAAAAGGGAACTAAATAAAGAAATTTCATTTTAAAAGATTTGAAAAAAATATAGATGAATGTATGCTGGCCACATTAGTTATGTTTGCATAAACACTGAAACCTTAATTGTGTATGGAAATATATATTTGGGTTACCCAGCTTACATAAAAAAGAAGTTTCAGAAAGAAATTTCAGTAAGTAGGTGGGAAACCAGCTTGAATTAAATTGAACTGAGCGGCCTAGTTCCCAAGTGAAACTTTGAAAAGTGATAAAATGTAATTTTGTATGCCCTGTGGCATATTCTTAACTATGGGGGGTACTTTTTTAGTATGAGTGTACCTGTAGCTCAGTACTCTTGGATGTTCAAACTAATTTTAGATGCGAAGCATTTTCCACATCAACTGACAGGAAAGATTATTATATAAACTGTACATGGTTCTGCCCTTTTACAAAAAGCTCAAATGATAGTGTCAGGTTGATTTGGAATAAAAATAAGTATGTAGTCCTAACTGCAATCAAGCAGGTGTTTGCACAGCATTAGTATTTTTCAGTCATATACACATTTTGACTGAATTTGGAAACCTCAAGCTGTTAATGGGGGCATGCTGTGTGGCAACTTATGGTTACAACTGTTTCTAACATCATTAAGAGTAAGTCAGGTTTAGTTTATTGGACCCTGAAATGAACTAGGTCTGAGATTTTGTGGATGAGGTATAAGTTAAATGATTGCACATGCACATCCCTACAGTCAAAGGAAATGAGCTGAAAGTAGGAAAAATTGAGGTCCAGTCACAGGCATTCCTGGAATACTTTAAGATGTTTTTTATCCAGCCTCAGGTGTGCAGTATGTCTGCTTTTAGAATCTACACCTAGGCGTTCCCTACGCTTAAGTTTGATTTTTTTTTACTGTGAAAGTTCATTGCTTCAAAGACTTATTGGTGTGAAGATTCATTAGTCTTAATCTTTCGTATGTTTGTTCATTGGCTTGAAAAATCAAAAGTAAATTGTTATTTTAGAAATAACAGCAACAGGAAAACTTTCTGTCCATCAAGTTGTTAAACAGAATATCTTCAGAAATGATGTTCACACAAAGGAAGCACAAAAATTAATTTTAATTATGGAATAGTCAGTTTTCTATTTTATCTGTGCAGAGAAATTAAACTTACTCAGATGCAGTCTTTGAATTGTAAAAAAAGCACATTCCTGACATATGGTGGTCATAACAAAAATACAATACAAACTTCTGTTCCTAATTTCATTTTTTAAAATCACACATTGTATATCTTCCTAGCTGTTTCCCTACATAGTGTTGATTGATAAAATAATGTTTATATTCTGCTCAATTCAGCTGCTGTAGTGGAAAGTGCCATTCTGTGCATGCATGGCGGTTTGTCTCCTGATCTCAAAAATTTGGAGCAGGTAATTTGTGTTGGTTTTTCTTATTGATATCAATTTTTATTGTATCAGTGCTGTGTGAGATTCTATGCATTAACCTGATTAAGGATATATTTTGGATTGTTGATGGACTGTGAATAAATGAATAAATAACATCATAGAATAGAATATTTTAAAAGAATTATTTAATTAAAATTATTCTGGTCAGAATAAAAAATGTTGATGCAACTGCCAAAAAAAAAAAAAAAAAAAAAAAAAAAGAATTTGAAATATTTTCTGAAGTTTTTGTTTAGTGATTGATTTATTAAAGTTTTTTAAAACCAGATTCAGGATCTTGCACGCCCCATAGATGTACCCGATCATGGGCTTGTCTGTGATTTACTGTGGTCAGACCCAGACGAGGTATTTATTTATTTATTTATTATATGAAAAGTCAGTGCATAGTTTGCTCTTAAATATGTGCAGTAAGTTACCTGTTACTGATCACTAAAGAAACGGTGCTATTGTCAATAAATTTCATTATTTATTATCAAGTGTAATTCCCCGTCTCCAGAACAACGTAAAGCTGACTCGAAAATTTGAAACTAAAAAATGGTTTTATATATAGATCATGTATTTCTCAACAGTTTTCCAGGAAATGGTTTACCATGGTGAACAAGGGAAAACTGTTGAAATTTCTATGAAAAATGATTTTTTTTCTGTATGAAGGTTTAACACTCACCGAGTGCCTTTAAATATTTCCCATTAAAGGACATCACAGGCTGGGGAGAAAATGACAGAGGGGTGTCCTATACATTTGGTGGAGATGTAGTGAGAGGGTTCATAAAGAAACATGATATAAGTCTCATATGCAGAGCACATCAGGTAAGACTGCTGAACAGGAAGCATGAAATGTACCAGTCTAAATTATTTATTTTGTTTTCTGCATGTCTCTATATAGTACAGTTTGATAATGAATAATGCATTGATTTTTTATCTGTTGTCCATCAATGAGACATTTAATTGAAAGAAATATTTTTGGGGTCTTTTTAAAAGAATTGAAAAAGGCAGTGACTGTGAAGTGGTTTTGCCAAAATGGTCGCTTCTTGATGTTTTTTATACATGTATTAGTAATGTAACTGGTTGTAATCTATTTATCCATATTAATTTTCAGGTAGTTGAAGATGGATATCAATTCTTTCAAAAACGAAAGGTCAGTACCAGGAGTTCATAAATTTACATATTTTGAATGTATATTTTGAAACAGGTTTTTAAAATATTTGAACAAATCAATATATTTTGATGCTTATCAGTACCAGTACTATCAATGCATTGATATAAATGTACACTTTTTACATTTACATAAAATATTGTCAATGTGTGTGTGTGTGTGTGTATGTGTGTGTAAATATAATATAAGCAAGGTACACTTTTTTCAGTTGGTGACTTTATTTAGTGCTCCAAACTACTGTGGTGAATTTGATAATGCAGCAGCAGTGATGATAGTAACAGAGGATCTCACATGCTCATTCAGAATTTTGCCAGTAAGTAAACATATACATTAATGATATCAGTGTCACACCTTTGTCAAATTTGTTTTGCGTAGGTGAATATATACAGGTATACATGTAATACCGTACTGGGGTAAGTCACCCTGCTGGGTTTAAGAGAGCACTGGACACTTGCCTCTATGCTCTCCGCAAGCTATTTACATGGTAATGTGTCAAAAAATTCAACCAAGGTTAATTAATTAATTTCAAAGAAATGTAGACTGCCAGTGTTTCTAAAACTTGGACTGCTCTAAGTGCACAGCGCTATAACATTGATATAGTGCGTGTATCATGTGATATAAATGCAAACCTGCATGGTTACATTTCAGATACATGTATTAGTGATTTAACAATTGTACATTATACATGTACACGTTCTGGTAGGCTTTGTCAAACTTTGTGTGTGTTGGCTGAGTAGGTCTATGTTAATTGTATAGAATTGAAATCATGAAGGAGCTGCTAACATCAAAATTATTTAAATGATTAGATCTGCTGTTTTATCTATATTGTTAAGTTAAGTTGAAAATGCCTGTAAAATGCAACAGAAATTCATACTTATACATTTATACAATACATTAGTACTGTAACAATAATAATTAAGTTTGCAACCTTATGTTTAGGTGTCACTATATCATTAATAATATGTTCTTTTTTTCCAGCCTGAAAGTACACGGAAATTTATAGGAAGTGACAAGAAAAACAAGAAGGATGGGAAGGTGCTCAGAAAACAAAAATCTAGCTGATTATAATTATTTGTGCAAGGATATTTTTCCTCTTATTATACTTATTAAAGTATTATCTAAACGCTGTGCTGACATAAGAGAGATGAATATATATAAAAGAAGCTGTTATAATGAAGAACGTAGGTGCAGAACTCTTGCCAAAGCATTATCACATGAGATGCCATTTTCTTTTGACCTTTTGGAGCTCTGTAACAGTACAATTATTCTGATAAAATGGACAGGTTTAGCAGTTTTGTGGTATGTAAAGCAATGATTTGCTGTACTTTTAATAGAATTTAACTGCAGTTTTGTTTGAATAAAATTTAGCAAAGAAAATTTTTTGTGTAAAAATCAATTAACTTTGTGATTAATTGTGTCGTGTAAAATGTGTATAGAGAGGAGGTGTATGAAAACATGAAAATATGAAAGTGGACTTAAAGGTTCTAAATGGATAAAATGCCACAAAATTTCAGTGTTGGTGACCAGAAATATAAACCTGACCTAGAAAACTGATTTGTACTGAGTGTTATGGAAAAAGTTGGAAGTGAACTTTTGTCTTCAAGGGAAGAACAATTATAATCCTTTGGTTTAGCAAGCCAATTATTTTTCATGTATGGTTACTAAATATATAATGTTTATTTTATATTTATCAGGTATCATTTAGTTGCACGTTCTTGGATCTTGTAATGACAGGTGCCTTTGAGCAAAATACTCTGGTTACAATGTTTGGCAATTTGGTATAAATTGAGAAAGCTACATCATTTTGGGAGATACTTTACGGGCACAATATTAAAATACAAACTGTGGTGCAAACTCGTGTAAATTATTAAAATTTAAGGAGTTAGATGTAATCTTTATTACAACAGTGATACTATTAGGATTGAACTATTGTGATGCTTATACAATATGATTCAGGGCAGGAGGGCTAATGGAACTGTAATTCCTTATATGCTGCACCAGAATGTGTAGAAAATGAAATAAATCCATTTTCAATCTTCCAAGGTGTCTGATACAAATTCCTATATGCTATTTTATGAGAAGAAATCCCAAATGAAAACAAAATGAATTCAAACTTTTGACCACAATAACTTAAACCAAGCTTTTTTTTTTTTTTTTTACTGGGACAATTTATTGAAATTTTATATTGAAGCGTAACTATGTCACTCACCTATTAAATATAGATTGCATGGAACACTGTTCTCATTATTTATTACAAACACACCAATTTGAGTACACATATATCAGTACTCAGTTACAAAAAAATCCTGAAAATTTATCATTGTGAAAGCGCAATCGCTACCAAGCATATACCAGTATGGTAACCAAACCAAATTTATATGTGATCACACTTCACTAATTCAAAATACAAGCATATCCATTTCCATGCACTTGATATGTAGCTCACACATGTGCACTTGCCCATGGTCTTTATTTATAGATATAGCTACTTAACAACTTACAAATAGATCTCAAGTTCATTTTGATCCTTTAACAATAAGAAAAAACAATGCGAGTATATTGTTAAATATTATATAAAAATTTTACTTAACTACAGTGCTGGTGGCTCCCATCACGTACATTTAGTAAAAGTAATAGTAAAAAAATACTTATCACTGTACTCTCTTTATCTATGATGTACAAACAAAAAGAATACTCTGTTTGGCAAAGAAAAGTGACTTTTTTTACCCAACACTGATTTAAAAATGGTTTTTCACAGTTCAAATATGTAACAATTAAAGTAATATATATATTAAGTAATAAATGTTAAAACAAAAATTCTACAGTTCATAATACTGAAATTGAATGACAAGCATTCAAATTTATTGGTCACAATTATTTAGCAATTAAGTACTTGATGTATACACCATCAAAGCATAGGAGGTAAAATAGTCCTTCCCTGTATAAAAAAAACATGAAAATACTTATCGAGTGAATGGCAATTATTTGGCACAAACACGCAATTTTAATGAGGCACAACAATCAACTTTAGTATGCTCTTATATATGCAGTTATATATATATAATTCATGCAATTTACTCTGCCCATGATATCTGCTTCTCAGAGAAGTTTTTGGTTACACCTTCTGTGTGTGTGTGTGTAAAGACAAAAATAAATCTAAACCAGTTGTCTTAAATAACCAGACAATAAGATTAATGGTCAAGTTTGGTGCTCACATCTAATCTGATTTGGTGTCTGAATGCACCTTATCAACTATGCCTGATCAAATTCCTTTCTAAGATATAAAATATGCTGGCATGTCATTTTTCATTCTTCATTTCTTGGGGTCAACTTTATCCAAATCCCATGCTCAGGACGCAGGATGATTTCACTCACTGGGCGAAGTTCTTCACGTTTTTGGGTTGATGTCATGTTGAATTTTCTTAACATGGCAGACAGCATGACTTTCTCTTCCATTATGGCAAATTTTTGGCCTATAATAAATCATAATAGTAAAACTATACATCAGCAAGTTTGAACAAGCCAGCTAAAGCCGAGACAGGCAACCTTACCAACCGTACCAATAAACATGGGACATTGATAAAATATAACAGCAACTTTGGGACTTGACACCCAATGACAAAAAACTACTGCTAACCAACATTATTGAAAGAAATATTGAAATCATAATAGTAAAACTATACATCAGCAAGTTTGAACAAGCCAGCTAAAGCCGAGACAGGCAACCTTACCAACCGTACCAATAAACATGGGACATTGATAAAATATAACAGCAACTTTGGGACTTGACACCCAATGACAAAAAACTACTGCTAACCAACATTATTGAAAGAAATATTGAAACACGAAAAATAATCCAGCTAGTTTTCCAGCTCAAGTTGCATATAAGTCCCATGAATCATTGATGTAAGTTTGAGAACATTTAGTATCACAATTTCCACTTTCTTTTTATTTTTTATTTTTGGCAATTTTGCAACATTACGTAATGGTTAACAGCACAATCACCCCCACTTTTTTCCATGTACTACTTTAATTATTGGCACCTAAAAAATGTAACTGGCTCCAGGCTTATGAGAGTTCAAAGTCATGCATTGAAAATATCAATGACATGGGAAAACTGCCTGTCCAACTGGTCATGGGCACTTGACTTGCCAGAGGACCTGCAAGATTTTTGATATTGCAGGTCCTCTGGACTGGAAAGGTTTATTTGAAAATAATATACATATTAGTAAATCACATGTGAACTAAGAGATAATTAGTGACTATCATAATTACTTTGGATCGAACTATCTCCATGGGATTCTCACTTAACTACACTTAACTTAAGCGGCTTAGATGTCTGTCACACCTACTGAAGCTGATAGGGGGTAATTAACTATCATTTAGCAGCTTCAGTAGGCGTCCCACACATCTAAGCCACTTAAGCTGAAAGCAATTTAGTGAGAAACCCCGTGGAGATGGAGATGGACCTATCCTGTTAGATTGATATAGGTATGGGAACCCAGTCTAAGTTTAACAGAAATTAAATACTTAGTCCGAACTTCCACAGAATGAGGAGGACCTGCAGATTTCTTGTAATGAAGGTCCACTGGACCTTCATTATCTCCAAAGTTCTTCCCATATCTGGACACATTCACAAAAATTGAAGAAAAATTTACGAAAAATACCCAATCACTTTGGTTTCTGAACCTGTGCTGCATTTTTGTCCGTTGAGTGTACGATGACAGTGACAGCAACAAAATGCAGGCGTTAGCCTTATGTCCAGACACGAAGTGCATGTCCATAAAAAGTATTTTCATTTCTAAATTCTAAGACATTTCTCAACTACCAGCCCTATTCATCCTTAAAGAAAATTTCACGAGAGTGTCGCATTTTACCCAAGGCTCAATTAAATACAGATTTTTAAACTAGATGTATTAGATGCATAAATGTGATTCTCCTGATTCTTACCAATGCAGTTCCTCATTCCTGCGGAAAAGGGAGTGTAACTGTACGGGTGTCTCTTACGCGTGTTTTCAGTCAGGAATCGATCAGGATCAAACTTTTCAGGATCAGGGAAATACTTGGCATCCCGATGTAGAGCTGTCACAAGAATAATACCTTCAGTTCCCTTTGGAATCTTGAAACCTTCTGAATGATAAATATATTTTCATTTGAATATTTTGACAAAATGTGAACAAGACCTTTTCCAAAAATTAAAACTTCTCTCTTTTTCAGGCATTTTGCTCAGATGATATACAAGTCATACATATAATACACACCACAGGGTATTAAAGGTATACAAGCCTTATTAATCAATTTTATTAGTAAAAAAAAAATTCCTAAAAATGTCAACACCATCTGCTTAATCACCATGCATGGTGTACCACATCCAAAACTATTAAAAAAATTATGATCTAAGTGTTCTAAGTTTCTAATTCTTGAGCCACTCTTGTTATTTGAGATAAATAATGGCTAATGACACTTGTGATGGTATAAACTGGAAATATATGTACAATAACCAGATTCTTACTGATCTCACAATCCTCAGTGAAGGTTCTGGCATGAAAAGGCACTGATGGGTATATGCGTAAGGCTTCCTAAAGTTAGAAATAAAATTCTTTATGAAAAAAAAAATCCAAACAATTTAAAACTTAAAATTTGTCAATGAATTATCATTTACAAAATCAGAAGTGCGTTAATAAATACGACAGATACACGAAATTACTTTGTTATGTAATTACCATTCATAATTTCATATCCATGTGGCAACAAACTGAATGGCAAAACAAAACATGTATTTTCACTCTTTGACATAGCACAGTGAGATAAACAGTGGCTAGTGTACCAGCAACTACTGTTCCTTTAGTTTTGAAAGTGTTAAAACATTCGTTCCCTATCTACCTTAACTTGGGCACACAAAGTTATAATACATACCTTAATCACACATTCCAAGTACTTCATTTGTGCAATATCTTGTGGTGTAGCTCTTCTGTCGCTGTCACCTAAATTCACATAAAACCTACATGACCTTTGATGATTGGCAAATTTTAAAAAACCATTACTTTTAAGGAAAGAAAAAACTGTATTAAATAACATTTCAGTCTACTCAATCTACTCAATAAAAGCATCATGTCTCTTTATAGAATGTAACTGAACATTTAAAATCAAAGTGCATGGTCTTTAAAATATGGATACCAAATATGCTGTCCATCTCTTCATGGAGCTTTTGCTGAACTTCTGGGTAAGCGCCAATAAAATAACTGGCCCAGGTCACCCCTGCTGCTGTGGTATCATGGCCCTTAAAAATGAAGAAACAGTATACTGATTTTGAGAGAAGAAATCTGATGAAGTTCACTTCCTGTCAACAGTTCTCATTAATAGATATACAGTAAACAAAACTTTTATGAATACAGGGGTACTTCTTTTTCCTTTAGTAAGGTGAAAAGGTACATCAGTTTCTTTTAAAATTTTTACTTCAGGCAGGGTGTCAGTTTTGTTAATGAAAAGGGATATAAAAGCTTTTAATATACAAGCCCAGGCTGCCTAAATTTTTTAAAACAATACCACTCACATGAAGCAACCCTTTTTACAGCTATGTGGCTAAATTAATTATGTTAGAAAGATTTTGGATAACAGCATTTACATAATGCTCATAATACAGAATGCATGAAAAAATCAATAAAGTAATCTACAATCAAATTTGCTTAATCTGTATATGGACAAAAAAATCCTCCCTTTGACTTTGAGACACACAAAAATCTAATCATCTTCTTACAAAGTTTCACAAGATATAGTAAATCAGCATAATGGGGTTAAGGTACAAAAGGTCTTTACAGGATAAGATAAAATAAATTTCCCGTTGGGCGTGTATTAGTGAGAGATTTATGATAACATCCCATACCTCAAACATGAATGTATCCACTTCCTCCCTAATATCTTCATCTGTAAGAGGAGTCTCAGTCTCTGAGCTGTGAAGCAACATGTCAAGCAATGCTAACTTTTTACGTCCACCTATCGACAAATGTTCTTCACCTCCCTCACTGTACTGTTCCAGCGTTTTCTTCCTGTCTTGGATGAGGGATTTTTGAAACTGTTCCTTTCGTTCAGCAATAACCTTTAAGAGTTTGATTTAAAAATGTATGGTTCATAGCTGTCAAAATGCTCAAAACATTTCAGACAGCAAAATTGTCTAATGAACAGGTTATACACTGATTAAAAAATAAATGACTTATGTCTTTCTTGTAAAAAAACCTTTAAGCTGTCAAAAATTGAGAAATTAGATTTTGTGAAATGAATATCACTCAACAAAAGATGAACACATGGATCCGCTCTTATCTATATATATAAAGCAGATCAAAATTTGAGTCTCTGACTCATGCTTATAAAATCTGACATAATAAGCATATAATATCCAATTGTTTTCTTCACAGACCTTATTAGTAAAATTATGAAGCACTCGTAGACATTCTTTGGTTTCTTTTCCATCACCAAATATGTCATAAATGAGGCTGGGCCAAAACCATGGTTGCTTCTGCCTCTCGGACACTAGATAACAAAGCCTGGCAAAAAGGAAAGCTCTACAAATATGTGGTGCTATGCACACACACACACACGCACACATACACACACATTCTCTCTTTTTCACAACTAATCAATCAAACTTTAAATAAATTAACAAATTGCCAATATTTAAACGGCACTCACTGTGTGGGTAGCTAAGCCTGTGTGCACACCCACCTATGTGTTACTTTACATATTTATAAAAAAAAGTCCATATGTGAGTGGGTAACCGACCTGTAGACTGCCTTGACATAGTCAGAATCACTGTCCTGCTGGGCATTAACTGTCTGCCCCATAGCCGTCTCTATAAAATAAGAATTGTCATTGTTTCAAAAACAAAGAAATTAATGATTTTTTTAAGCTTATGATTATTTCTATGACATTTAAATTGGTTGAATTTTGTCCATTACAATACCCATGGCATATTGCTCTATAATGTAATGATAGAACATATCAATAAGTATTTGAATAATTTTTTCTTTGTTTTGGGGTAGTTTTTGTATTGACATGAAATGAAAAATAATCTAAAAATATTGAAAAGTATGTTTATAGTGATTACTGTAGTACTGCAATAATAACAAAATATAAGTAATAAAAAATCATAAAAAGTCCTTGCCACAAATGATATCCAATGCACAATGAGTGATGTAGGGAAATACATCAAAGGCAGATCCTCCTGTGTGTTTTGCCATCTTGTTGACCATAATGTCTGCCTGCTCACACATCACATTAAGAAAATTGTTCAGAATCTTGAAATGAAAAGCTGGAGTCAACATCTTCCTTCTTGTATGCCACTTTTCTCCTTTACTAAACAATAAAAGATAAAATGATTTATTTGATCTGATATCTAGAGAAAACTTTACTGCAGTATGCATTGCTGAACATTTTACATGGATTTACTCATGCACAAAACAAAATTTTAAGTCTGCCCTTTAAAGCCTTATCTTACCTATGATCTTATCTTATTTAAGTTATGATAAGACTTTTCAAAACTTCATCAAAGAGCCTGGAAAGCAGGACTAAATTGTCACACATTATGTTTAGAATGCTAGACATGCCTCACTTTTTACCACCACTACACAAGAGACAATTAAAAGTCTAGGCCATCATACTACATAAACAGGTTCAACTTTTTCACAAAGAAAAGGTAAGTGAATATATATATATATATATATATATATATTATTCACAGTTACCTTATTAGTAGGCCTGTCCCTAGCCAGGGTACAAGAAATCTGTAATCACTAGATTTCTCAGAATGCTTTGTACTGTTAAAAAGTTCCTGAAAAAAAAGGAAAAAAATTAAACTTTTTTCTATGTAGCTACGTTTAAATTTTTACATAATACCCTTTTAAACTTTTTTAACATGCAACTGACAAACAGACTGACCCAAAAAAAAAATGATTGTCTTAGTATCCATATTTTAGATCTGTATTATGACTTTGAATAAACAAATTGTGGTTGAAAACTAAGCAACATATCTACATGTACAAAATTATTATGGTAGCAAGAAATGTACATGTCTCCAGCTTTGGCTTCTGTTCTAGCCCCTTTGGTTCAGACAAAGTTTCAGTAGGTGATGGCAATATGCAAAGACAATAAAGCATATCGCAGTGTGTCTGAACATAAATTTCATTTACCTCTACAGTATCGGCATGAAAAAGGATGACCCTTGGTGATTCTCCAAGCCACACACGGATTATCCCATGTTCTTCATAATCTTTACTATATTTCATTATCTGCTCATAGAAATCTGAAAGTGACAAAAATAATAACTATGCGAAAACTGAATGTGACAAAATAATAGCAATTTTACAAATATATGTAGTTGGAAGACATTACTTGCTACATTACTAGTACAAGTGTCTACCTCAAGGATGCAACATATCATTTTTGAGCTGAATCATTTATTTTAAAAGTCTTACACAAGTCTATCTGTAAGTCTCTTTTTATAATAAAAACTTAATTTTGCACACATTTTTATAGCTTTACTGTAATACAAAATTAACAAACTTAAATAAGTAAAAAATTAACCTTTTCATAAAAATAATTTCCAGTGTTTACTTGAAATGTAATGACTTAATTGAGTTTATTCACCAGTTAAACAGCAATGTACACTTAGATAAATGGGGACCTATTAGTACCTTGTACCAAAAGCTTACTTGAATGATTCTCTAAAAGGCAAATTATAATGCAATTGCATTATTCTTTTACAAAACAAAAGCAAAAAAACATGGGAATTTAATCTTATGAGAAAAGTATGATGTGTAAGCCCATTTTTAAGCTCTTTATTTATAATCTTTATATCCTGAGTGAGTGGAATTCACAGTCCCTATCTCCATTATAATATTGGAATGTCTTAAAAATCATAACTATGAAACTCAAAAACATATAAGTTTATCACCCCATTTCCATAGATTAGATCGACCTACTTTAGATCGACCTACTTTAGATCGACCTAACTCCCTGGGGGTTCACGCTAAATGGCTGTCAGCCGGGCGGACACGAAAGTTAATTACCCCCTCACAGCTTGTAGTAGGCGGGACGGACATTTAAGTTGGATTATCTGAAAGTAATCTAGTGAGACTCCCCGCGGGGATAGATCGATCTAAAATCTATGGGAATAGAGCCTATGATAAAGGGTAAAGTATCAACAGTTATAATCTATAGGAAAGGCATTGCACTCATAGTGTGAATTAAATCATAATCATGTATAAGCAAAATGGAATCAGTCCTACAGCATATCAGTCATCATTCGACACTTTATATTCCAAATATTATAAGCCAATATGGCAGGAAGACGAACATTACTTTAACATGTGTTTTTTTTATCCTGTGCTTACTAGATGGTAATTTGTTTAATTTTAAATGCAAAGTTTTGGAAAATTTGAAATATTTCAGTTTTTTTTGGGTGATAATAATGCCAGAATTAGCCAACAGCTATGAATGTCAAAGCTGGGCCTACGTGTACCTTGACATGAACTGATACACATACTACTGGTATATACATGTATATGATAAGCCACATGGGTTAATGTTTAGTCAAATGAAATATTTGCCACATGAAACCATCTTATGTCATTGGTCAATCTTTGGGGTCATTACTTGGTCACTACGTGGGCTGAAATGACCAATGACATCAACGTCAAGGGTTTACCGTACTTTCAGTTTGCATCACGATTACTACAGTATAGTCAGGGTAAACAAAAGCAGAATGAAAAGTGTCTGTATTCAGAGATTACATTGAACTGGGCTCCAGACTACTGTTTAACTTTAAATCTACAGTATCTATCCTAGGTTGTGGTACTTTAGACATTCGTACTTTGAACTGAGCTCCGACCACCTGACTATGCAGACACCATGGGCAAATTAATTATAAAAATAAAATCTAACCTGCGCCTCCAACTGCGAATTGATGCGTGTTTCCCACCAGCGGCAACGCTGGAGGCCCAGCCATCTTATCAAAGTGACGTTTAGTTTTGAAATAATGCAACGCATATGCGACAAGTGTCGCAAATATAAACGTTATCCCGATCAAAGGAAGGGATGCACTGGTGTACACCGAAAAATTCTGTTCCGCCATTTTGAACACTCGGATCACATGACAATCAATCTTGTCACGTGACAGCATTTCCGCGAGATCTTGGGGAAAGCCGACAGTAAGTGGAACGTGTTGTCTCTAAAACCAATAGTTAATTGATTTTTGGTTGTATATTTATCAGAAAATACAAGTTACCAATAAAGTTATGCCAGTGCTTTGTCATTTTTATTTTAAAGAACCAAATGATCATCTTTTGATTCAGAATGACGCTAGAAAATACGCTCGTCAAGGAGAGTAAAAATGAAGCCGAAGAACTGGAAAGTGTCTCAGAGAAACCGCTTGAAAATGATGTTCGAGAAAAAAGACCAAAGACACCTCCCCTTCCAAAAGGAACTCAAACTCTCGAGCATCAGGTCGCTGGCCACAGGCATGGAAAGAGTAAAACAAAATTAGGTATTTGAGTGATATCTGCGATAAAGATTTGTTAAGTTATTCGGCTGTGGTATCACAGAATATTACTCGGAACAAACGTGAGACAAAAGGGGCTTTGGGACGTATTTTTTGGAACTCAATCTGTCGACTTAAAAAACTGTTATACATGTTAAGTATCTGCGCCCTCTTCACTTCATTTTTCATTTCTGGATTATATACATATCATATGTATTTAAAAAATGTGTTGCTTTCATTCATCAAGAGGAGGTTGTGTCTGACAAATACCCAACATTTCTAGGAGCCACAGGAGTAAAGAGATTTAAGACCCCCACCATTTCCAGTAGTTAAGACCACCACCCACTGTTTTAGATAATTTTATATCGGGTAACATGGAGTTTTGAGATGCCCCCTCATCCATTTGACTTTAATCATGCACATATTTGACTTCATTTCAGGTTTTCTTCAAAATACAGATGGTACTGTCCTGAAAGCCATCCAGTCTCCTCCAAGAGGAATGAGAGAGCTGCAGTTTTACCAGAATGTTTTTGATGAAAATCAAACAAACTCAGCTTTAATATCTCTGAGACAATTTATGCCTAAATACCTTGGAACCTACAGCTCTCCAGAATTACCAAATGGTAAGTTGATTGAAAATTATCGATTCTATTAAATGAATAAATTTAATTCTTAAACATAATAACATAGCATGCATTGGCTGGTCACTAATTGTGATTTCTGACAGAAATTTTATTGTTCACTTTGGTGTAAAATCTAAGTTTTAAAGTTGTAATATTTTGTAGCATTACTTTTGCTGAATAATGGTAGATTTTTAGTCTTTATGATTTGGTTTTTGTAATTCCTATTTACATTTCTACTAATGTTCAACATTATAGTTATAAATGAAGTGTTGTTTGTTACTATGCATAAATTGTTTTTCAAGATCCAATACTAATTTCATAATGTCAGAATTACTTTATGAATAAGAAAGTTTGAGGCATTTTTCTCTAATTTCTTTAGTTATTGTTGAAGTGTGGTTTTGGGATATTCTTTGTTATTATTTTTCTGGGATTATGAGCATGTTTGTGTAAGAATGAATGTTTTCACCATCATACGGAAGAAAGGTTGTCACCATCACGTTTGATAAACATTAAATCTCCTATTTGATTAAGTCATTTTCATTACATGTATATATGGATAACATGTGAATGTATTTGGAAAGGTGCCCTTTCTGTAGTCACTGGAACAACTACACCTATGTGCCACTGCAGAGTTTTTGCCACATCTTTAAGCTACAGAAATCACAAAATTATTCAGTCTGTTTTTGCATATCACCTATTCTATAACACTTGGTCATAGATTCTAATTTAAAAAAAAAAATTAATATGTTTTGTATTTATATATTCTGAAAATAATTTTGAGCACATTTTTTAGATGGCTGGATTGTTTATTTGTCAGCTTTGTTGTCCGATAGTGATCACAATATCATTTTGTATCTTCTTCATAGTCACTTTCATCACAGTTGTGAAGTACTGTGGTCATGAGCATTTTGCTTATGCATTCCAGCTTCTTGCATACTACTTACCCATTCTACCAGATAAAGTGATAAGAGCATGCATTGAACTTTTGCATGTCTGTGCCTGTTGGTCATTATGTGGATTGATATTACATTATTTAGGGGTTTGCATATCAAAATAAACACAGTTTGAAGAATTTGCTCACATCATCACTTGTGCAAAATGGGTATGCCAGTTTTGTATACCAAAAAGTGCCCAAAGTATGAGGGTCTTGATATCACAATTAAGCCAGCTATGCTGGGTAGAGGAGAATTGCCCCCAGTACCTGAAACTGAAAGGGGGTATCAAACTGAAAGGTTCCCAAAATGTTATACCGCATTTCAGTGATGTACCTGGTGATGGAAAAGGTCACTCAGCCTTTTGCAGAGCCCTGTGTGTGTGACCTAAAAATGGGAGCCAGAACTCATGACCCTGAAGCAACACCAGCCAAAATTGCCCGTGAAAAGGCAAAATATCCGTTCTTAGAAAACGTTGGCTTTCAATTCCAAGGCTATAGTGTAAGTACAAACTGGCTGCCATTTGCTTTTTTTTTCTAGTAGAGTGTATGGTTTGCTCACTGTTGTTGTATGTAGTGAACTTTTGCTGAGGTGCACACAGACTTGTTCTTAGACCCAGATCAATGTAGGTCTACATTACACCACCAGGCAAACAATTGAGTAAACCAGTTATTTGGCAGTTTAAACCATCGGGTATCCGACAAGTCGCTGGTCGATTTCATTTGGTTGTTTGGTGATGGAATTGGGACCTGAAGTTGTTGCCTGTCATTGTGTTGAAACTCATATCAAGATATGGTTTGGATGTTGTATTGCACAAATCTATGCCACCTAGCTATTACAGATGGTAAGCTGTAAAAAGCATTGGCCATAGGAAGTTTTTGTTTGACTTGATGTTGATGTTGAACTTTTTTCTTTGCCTCTTTCAAAATGCCTTCTCTTATTAAAAAAAAAAAAGATGTTTGTAACCTTGATGACATTTCAGAAGTTTTAATGCTTACTGCTGCCTTACTAGGTCGTCCCCTCTAACAGCTTGTTTCTACTTCCTGGGAAAGGGGATTAACACTGGCTGTTTCTCTTCCAGTCTTATACCTGAGAATGGATGATATATGTAACACATTCTCACAGCCTTGTATAGCCGATACAAAAATTGGCCCAGTAACATATGATCCTGATGCCAGCCAGGAGAAAAAGAAGCATGAACTTGCCAAAAATTCTTGTCTCCCCATTGTGGGGTTTCAGCTGTGTGGATTGAGAGTAAGTCCCCCCATACAGTCCAAGGGACAATAAAGAAGACCTTTATCATCTTAACTCTCTCATTTGAGCAGATGCCACAAACAGGTTTAAAGCCTATATATATATATAAATTAAAGTGTGTGAGAAGAAATGTAAAAACAAAGTTCATCCAAATTTTGCAGGTTCTGAATAAAATATCTACTGTTTGACTGGAAGCAAAGATAGCACTAGGACATGTGATATTTGATGAAAAAGATGCTTGTTTATACGGCTTTCAGTTTCACTTAAGGCATCCCTTGGCTTGAAACGTAATGTGGTTGTGGGCAGCTATCCTATCTTTAAATCTGCTGCATATTGTACTTCCCTGCATTAACCTTAACCATTGTTATTGTATTGCTTAATTTTGAACATTTACAAAGAAAGATAGCAGCAGCAAAATGTTTTTAACAGTGTCTTGATATAATAGTAAAAAATCGATCAGTTTTCAGTGTTTCCACATATACTTCATTCAAAGTTAAACACTGTGGGTGCAGCACACAAGACCCAAGGGGAAGGGGTATAGGGAGACATGGGGGGGGGTGGTCAATATTTGTACTCTTAGATGTGAGAACCACCTCCTGTATCCCATTATGAATGGAATTGTTTTTTTTCCCCTCTGTACCAATAGATTTGTCCTAATCAGTGTTTTTATTACAGGGAATTTTGAGATGCATGGTTTTGTTAGAATTTCCATTAGCAATGATATCATAGTAGTTTGTGACCGTATTATCCATTGTAACATGGTACCTTGCTCAGCATTTGTTATCTGATACATTCAGTGGTGACATCTTTTTAAGGTTCTCTTCGAACTTTTTGTATCATCTTGCACAAATCAACCAAAAACTGTTAATGCTTCTTTTTGCCACATACACTTTTATTATTTATAGTGTGCACAAATTTGGGCACTTAAACTTTAATACATAAATGATATTGAGAAAGATAATAAAGGAGTTGCATAGACTGAGTAAACCCAAAATATCTTAGGCAATAAGTTAATTTGTTCATTCCATAAATGTGATTGAAATAATAAAAGCAAAGCCACACTAAGCAAATCTTATTGCTTTGTATAGTTTGTACCATTGGTCTACTGTTGACCTCTAATTTCGTCTGTGTGTTGTTGAATGATTTTGACAGCGGATTTTATTTTTGTTTTTAGGTTTATGATCAAGTTAAAAAGAAGTATGACATATATGACAAGAAGTTTGGCAGATCTTTAACAGAAGTGGAGGTTCTAACCAAAGGTGAGAGTCAAACTTGGATTTATGTACTGACAGTCAATGAAAACGCATCAGAAAACTTTCTTGTACTTTTTTACCAAGAATCGATTCCAACCATGTAAAGGAGTACAAATGCACTTGTTTGGTCATAAGAGAGTGGGCTGACCACTCAGATGTTTAAAATTTCCGCTTCAGTGATTTTGTGATCAGCTGTTACAAAATCGTGTGTTATCCTGTCTCGTGATTGGTGTGAATTAATCAGGTTCGATATATGGTGATTAATTAAGCCTTTTTAAGCTAGTTACCAAATCCAGTATGACACATGACAAAAAACTTCAGTTATGCCACGTCTGACACTGGAAGAGCGACTGCGGGCCCTGGGGATGTTGGAGGCTGGGTGGAACCAAAGAGATTTGATCATGTGACCTTGCATTTTAATGATCTTTTCTGACCTTTATTGCACCTTGTGTGACTGAATAATGGGTGATATTTCACATGAAAACTGTTATTTTCTTAATGTGCTGAAGGAACTTAAAATATTATTTGATAAATAAATGATGCATTTTCATTGACTGTCAGTATATGTACAAAAAGTAAGATGACAAATACCCTCTCTTCAGAGGATTAGTTATCTGGCCTACCTAACTACCAGATGTGGCACTGAAAGATCCAGAATTTACCATAGATTGGATCACGTTACCGGTTTACAAGGTGTGTATCAGTACACGCTTGGAAGTGTCAGACACGGAACGAGCACCAGGCAAGAGGGTGGCACATCTGACACTTCGAAGAACGTAATGATACACACCTTGAAAAACGATAGAGTGATGCGATCAACGGTAAACTCTGGATCCTTCTGTGCTGCGTCTGGTAGTTGGGTAGGCCTGGTTATGTTGTTACCACTCAAACTTTTGAGGAACAATCCACATACAATGCATGTGAAAAAATTCCTGGAAATTATACAGGTTTATTATTCATCAAAGCATACGGTATGCAAAACTATATGTATGCCAGTTTTCTATTTGTAAATGTTGAAATTTTACTGTCAAGTATGAAATTTATCAGTCTCCATCTCCATTGCAAGATTGACTCTTTTTTAAAACTCATTAAAAAAAAAAAAAAAAAAAAATGGTGCAAGAATTGCCTATCTGTTAACACTTTTGATTAGTTGAAATTCTACTTTCAAGTATGAAATTTACCAGTCTCCATCTTCATTTCAAGAGTGACTCTTTTTTACAACTAAAAAAAAATGGTTCATGAATTGCCTATCTGTGAACACTTTGATTATGGATGCCTTGTTAATGAGAGGAAAGTTTTGAAATTTCCAGGAAAACATTCTTTGCTGTAACACCCAGTGTGTGCCTTTAGCGAAGTGTTTGTATTGATGGTATTCCAGTCTATCATTACACTCACTGTCCATTTAAAATGTTGCTCATTGGGTCAAACATTTTTTTCCACAAAACCAGCCCGTCTTATTACTTTGTCTTGTCTAACCAGGTTTTGCAGCTTTTTTTGACAATGGTTATGGAATCCGGGTGGATGCTGTGAAAGCCATGATCAAAAAGTTGGAAGAAATAGAGAAGTGGTTTATGTCACCTTCAGGCCTATGTTTCTATGCAAGTTCACTGTTGCTAGTATATGATGGAGAGAGAACCAGCACAGGCAAAACAGATGAGGAAGTATCTGATGGCATTGATTATATCAAAGAAACAGACTGTGCTTGTACCCCTGAAGTGGCTGGATGTGTAAATCATTGTCAGCTTGCCATGGACTTAGAATGCCCAGTTGCTGTGAAAATGATCGATTTTGCTCATGTCTTTCCTGCAAGTGGTCTGGATGAAAATTATTTAACAGGACTGCGCAGTTTAATAGCATATCTCCACAGAGTACTGGAACTTTGACAAATGTTGTCAACTAGTTATAACACTTATTTGTCTCATCTTATTATAAAGTCAGTACTGCCATGAGCTTTAAGCTATATCTTAATTTTCCAGATTTTTTTCTTGTAGAAAGATTGATTACATGGAATGCTTTGTTATGATAACTTTTATATTGTCAGTTTATCCCCAAGTCGGGTCCCAAGTGCAAGTAACTGATATTTTAACAGTGTTGAAGTTTTAATCAATATCACTGTAATAAACATTTTTTTTAAATGTTTTTTTTGTTGTCTTTTTCCTTTTTTAAAGCATGATGGGGTGGATTTGCTATATTTTCTTAACAAGGAAAGGAAAGGTGCATTTGGAAGCTATATGACAGAATAAATAGTTTATTTCTCCTTAAACCGCATACAGTGTACTTATTACTAATTCAGAACTTACTATTGCTACATGACTATACTTCTGAACCAAATGCCCTGCAACTAGCATTCTGACTAAACCTTTAAAAAGTGGGAACCAACATTTTGTCTTCTTGTCTCTTTCTAAACAATGGCATGGTATCAGCTCTGTTAAAATGACAATATTATCACTCGGAAAGAAAAGAAATGCAATTTAAGGTAGGATGAAAAAGAGATGGACAATGAGATATCAATGACTTCTTGAAAATTGACAAACACACCTATAAATGTCTATTTTGCATGTTTATCTAGTGCATCCTTATTGGAATGAAAATATTACATAATTACATATTTAATAGTGACAGGAATTGCACCTTTGTGTTAACTTGGAATGAATAATTATCTTTGTGCAAAACTGATTACTAAAGAAATCAGCATTTTTTCACAGCAATGCATGATTAAGTATGAGAGTTAATAAATATGAATCAGTAACCATTGCCTAACAAAGTGCATACCAGTAGTTCAAGACCATAAAAAAGCTCTCTATAAAAAGATACATTTGAATGAAGATCCGGGAATGGTGAAAATAATTGCCCCGACTTCCTTTATCTGGGAAAGACATAAATAAATGTCAGACAGTTCTGACTTAGTTTTTAGTGACATGACAAAACTGCCAATTCCACCCATCTCTCAACATTCTGCAAGATGTAACAAAGTGGCTACAATGTATATCCAATATACATGAATATCATGTACTAAAATGCATGAAAGCAAGATTATATGTTCCTTTTTTTCAATAAATGCACAGAAAATGTGTTTTACTTAAGATGCGAGATGCTTTTGGTAAGCATGATGTAACAAAAATTGTGGTCTCCATAACTAAGGATTGTGACCATCATTTAATGTCTCTAGCCCCCACCCCCCATCCCCTGCCAACAATTTCATCCTCAAGCTGGATCAAAACTATTACATCAGTAGTCTGGAGCTGGTGTCAGAAGAGTCTTGATGAAGTCTGCATACTTAACTTGTCCATTTGGTTGGATCTTTGCCTCCCTGAATAATGCATCAACTGAAAATAAAAGTATTTGTGTAATGATCAAGAGTATGAAATGAGAATCTGTAAATCACTACTTCAAATAAAACATTAGTTTTCATTTCAGTATTAACTTTGATAAATTGTGAAGGAACCAAATATGTTTTGACCGATAGGAAGCATAGCAAAAGCAGAAGTTAAAATATATTCGTGTACAAGGATGCACAGTAACCACAACTCATACAAGAAACTAAAATAACATAATTCGTAAACAAATTATTGTCAGTAGAAAAACACAACATATTTTCACCTTCTCTTTTGTTCAGTTTTTCCCCAAATTGTGTCAGAATATTCTTGACCTCCGATGCATTCACGTATCCTCTCCGTTGAATATCATGCGACTGGAATGCTGCCACAAGTTCCTCCTGACACTTCTCATTCTGGGAATGTTCATGCATGATATCCAGGAAAGTGGCAAAATCAATCTTGCCCTCTGGAATTCAAAACAGGTAAGGAATAGAATAAATATGAAGACAATAGTACATAACAGAGCTGATGAAATTCTTTTCAGAATGAATCTTATTTTAGAGCGCTGAATGCTACAGTATTTATTTATGTTAATGCAGGTCTTAAACTGGATTGATTTTGGGTCTAATCTCTGAGTATCTATAGTAGCAAAATCTTAAGTAGTTTAATGTGGCTCGCAAATTCCTTATCTATGCACAAACCAATCACTTACTTTCTGACATGTATATCATTAAATTAATAATATGAAATTATTAATAGTTGAAAATTTTTTGATTTTTAATGATAGATCCACAGTATTTGATTTACCTGTTGACTGTTTCATCTGTTCACTCTGACAGACTTGGTCACAACTGCTATCATATGTATCATAAATGAAAACTTTTCAACTATCAAAAATTATTTTCACATATATGAAATTATTAAGTCTAAATTATTAAGTTTAAAATATTATACTAACCTTTCTGGTATTTTTTGTAATATGTTTGCAACTCTACAATGGTTGGGCTATAGCCTAATGATCTCATAATAATCTTTAGCTCCTCTACATTGACAATATGCCTTTGTCTTGCATAGAAGGAAAAACATTCCTTGAACTCTGAAAGAGATTACTATAACTTATAAGTAATCACAAGTTGTTGTGAGCATTTTATTTTAAAATAATTATTCATAAAATTTTAATTATGCCATTCAAACTTAAATGATTCAGATTTCAGTGATTGAAACAGTACATGAGATTTAGTCAAAAAATGCATCTTAACTGTTTAATTAGAAAAGAGTCTGCTTGGTTAGGAATTTAGGGCGTGTCCAACTTCGGCAGTGTACTGAATCGGTAACTCATCAGAATAAAATACTTATAACTCAACGGGAAAACTATGCAATAAAATAACCAGTGAACCTGGTATTTGCACTTACCATCTATGTCACTCTTGCTAAAGAATCGGGCCTGAAAAGATAACAAATATTTTGAGAGTTTTGGTGCTGTTGCAGAGTTATAAAGTGAAAAACTAGAAATAAATGAAACGGTACTCACCATCTTGAATAATCCCGCACTTAATTATGTTTTGTAAATGTTTCTTATTTCAAATAAAATGTATTAAATGGTGTTATAAAAATAAAAAAAATATTTGATGTTTAGAAAAAATATGTCAGTTAAAATCCCATTCATTCAATTGAGTATTTGACGGAAAGAATTCAGCATTCAGGGTGACTTGAACGACCTTCACCTTTGAATTTATTCTGCATCAGTAGCTAACGCATTGGTTATTTACAGGAGTATTTACAAGTTGAATAATAGTTTGGCGAAGATGTGAAATTTAAAACAATTTGATTCAGTACGAGAGGGTGCATCCATGTTAATGGTGAGCAAAGGATTGAAATATTTTGAGATATCTATCTTACCATTCTATTTCTAACGTAAATGAATGTTTTCATTCAAATTCTAGTTGGCCATACCGAAGTCATGCCCTTCTGGGGACATCTTTTACAATTTCCTACGTCTTAAGGATGGTGGAAAGAAGCTATTTGATTTTAAAGTTTATGTGTTTTGTTCTTATCTGTGGCTATTTATCATAGTTTCGAGATGGCCATACCTGAGTGAAGCCATTTATCCATTATGCTACTCCTACATATTGTGCACTGCCACTGTAGCTAAATACCATTCCCACTAGTTGTATGATGTAATAGTTATTTAGTTATGTAAGACCGAATTATGGCCATATAGATTTACTTCTTCTTTAAGTAAATTTTCAATTATTTTTTCAATGATATTTTACAGTTGGGCCAATTTATTACAGTATCTTTAGGGATGAATGTATCCCCATTACACCAATTTGGGGGGGGGGGGGGGGGGGGGGTTTTTGAAAAATTGGGGAACTTAAATTTTA